ACGCTTGTAGGTCTTCAGGTTATTTTGATAAAGATTCAAATCACGCGGTCTGATCAGTTGAAGACATTGAAACTTTTGAAACGCATATTCAACCTTTTTTTAAACGGAAGTAAGCTCAGTTTAAAAAATAATGAAAATTCACTATGTTGGCGCCTTGAATGTTTCCATCATTATGTTTATTATGAATTAGTCAATCCAATTAACAACTATTATTATCAGATGTGTCAAAGAGAATAAAAATGAGTTATTTCAGTCCCACAGTGAATAGTTTGACTTTAAAATAAGGTTCGTTCAAATAAACTTCCACTATCTTCGACTTTTTTCATACAGTAGTCAAAAGGTATTCATAGGTTAAAAATACTTCATTTACAGAATGCTTGCAATCACTCACTTACTTGTGAGGACATTTAAAATAAAGGGTGAAAAAAGAGTAGAGTAAGATAAACAAATAAGGATAGTGAAATTTATTTGGTAATATTCATCACTGACTAACATAACTAGTATAACCATTGAAAATATGGGAGCCCTGGAGAGTAGTTTTGTCCTAGCACAGGACTCCTAGGCAGCGTGCGCTCACAACCCTACCAGTGAACTTACTCAAGGTGAACGCGTTACCTATTCAACCACCGGGTTGGAGATCATTAGCTCACATTTCCATGCTTCTAACAATTCGCGACACTGCACGGCTATTATCCAAGGTTTCTAGAATTAGGAAACTGTGGACCGTTGAACTACAACCTAGTGGCTGAATGGTTAATATGCTCACCATGAAACCTGAAGGTCCTGAGTTCGATACTTGGCTGGGTGGTAGGTGGTACTGCTTGTGAATCCCATAATGGGAAGAATCAGTAGTTCACTACTCCTAGGTTTTCAGTAGTTCTTCATCTGATGTCAGTCCGAGAGGAATAAGACCTAAAGATAATAGAAGAGTTGAAAACAAAACGAAGATGGAGGAGGAATGATATATTTCCACAATAACCATGATATTTAAATGGGATAAAGGTTGATGGAGAAGGTTTCAAGCAAAGATAAATTGTTTTTATATGCACAAAAAGCTTTTCAAAATTTTTTAGGGTGTAGCCTTTAATAAACTAAAGCATACCGTACTGACAACTAATTTTGTATTTATTCCAGGTAGTTTTCAGCTGAGGAGGAGCCAAGAAATGGACAAGATAGCAAGTTATTCTTCTGGTCTGATTATTTTTGCTTTGATACAAATGACAAGCGAAACAAGTTGTATAACATACAATGGTCTAAAGGTTCCTTCTGAACCAATAATATAACCTACGTCTATCCGCCCACTGTGTTGATCGAACCGTTTGATTGCTGCGGTTTTCCCTACCATTTGAGGATATTTTCCACCTTTCTGAACCTCAAAGTTCAACCGCTTCTTTGTTATGTGTCCCTAGAATCAAATGAAAATTGACATAAACAACGCGATATTAGCAGTCACTTATTCGGTTCCCATAACCTCGCCTAGTTAACTAGTCCACTAGGTACTAGACCGTCCTAAGCCCGCATAGAGAGGGAAGCTTGGGCATAGGGTTAGCAACCCCAATCCAATCCCTGAAGAAACCTCAAAGCACAAAGAAAATATAAAGCATAAAATTAAACTTATTCCTCACTGGAATCGGAGAGGCGAAATGACGCCGTTTGGTGAAAACCTTCCAGAAACCAGTTGGTCGATGCGTCTTCTCTCTCTCTCAATGACAGCGAAAGTAAGAATGCAGACATGGATTGTCCGCACAATGTTTGAAGCTGGATGGCAAGGCTGTTCAGATTTCAAAAGAGATGAGAAGGTATAGCAGAGAAGTATGAGGCTGGGGATATTTGTAAGGAGATGGAATGGAAGTGGACTCCCCAAACTGTCAACTAGAGACGAGTCAATAATCTGCTCCGATAGTGTCACCCAGACGACAACCATGAGCACACTAAGTACAGGAGTGGCTATCTTGATGTCCCCAACAGCATCAAAGGCTCTCCTCCTCTCATGCAGTGGGAACCAATCTCCTCCTGCAGGATCAAGATCATCGCAGCAAGATTCAACTCAAAATGAAGGAGAACCACAATCATACAATGCTACGCTACTCACCTACAAATAATTCGGATAGAGAGAAGGAGGAATGCCACAGACAATTGCAATCCATAATGGACAACAGCCCACTCTCATGGCGATATCAAAATTCATTCTAATGACTGGATTGACATGAATGCCAAGCTGCATGAAGCTGACAACATAGTAAAAGACCCATCGTGGCTCGAGGGGCACTCGGTGAAATGAACGAAAATGGAGAACCGTTTGCAGACTTCTGCACACAACGATTTTGTGATTGGAGGCAGTGTGTACAAACACAAGGATATTCACAAGGCAGAGACATGGATTTAATTTCACTAGACACCAGGACACACTACACTACAAATCAGATCGACTTCATCTCAGTGTGAAGAAAGTGGAGACGCAGACGCAGTCAGCCTGCTGGACACAAGATCAGATGAAGAAGAGGACCAGATGCAGGTAGGTTCACACCACTCACATCCCTATCTAGTGCAAGGAACCTACCTGCAAAATGAAGTTGAAAGCCTTCACAGAAGTTGGTCATAGATGACTACAGTTCAAGTTCATCATCCGGAAGAGAAACTGCACTGAAGAATGAAACTACAAAGAACATATTCACGTCAGCCAGTCATCAGCACGAAATGGGAGATATTGAGCAACATCCCTGGAGAAACCTGAGTAGAAGAACACTGGAACTGTTTGAAAGAGACGTCGGAGGAAACCTGAATAAGCGTATTAGGAAGGAAGAATAAAGAAGACGGGACATTGAATGTACCTCGACAAACAAGTGGAAGCTGATAAAGTATTGACAGGAAAATGATGATGGTGAATCAAGAGATGAACCAGTGCAGTGCAGGGACGAAAAGAGGACCTGACTACAACGTATAGGACACTAAACAAAGAGGTTAAGAATAGTGTGCACAAAAAGACAAAGGACACTTCTACGACACACTTGCAAATGAAGTAGAACAAGCTGCTGGTAGGAGAGACCTAACAACATTATGTCAAATAACCGGGTTACTATCTATTGAGAGAACAATGCAGACAAAACCAATGAAAGATGTTGGTGGAAACCTAGTTACCATAGAGGAGAAACAGAAGAAATGATGGGTTGGCCACTTCAAAAAACCCTGAAATCGACTACCGCCACCACCTGCAACTCGTCCAGAAATACCACCAGAAGCCCAGCCACAGAATTATCAGTGAACACAAGCCCTCCGACAAAAGCAGAAGTGAAGTCGTGAAGGCCATAAAGCTGCTGAAAGACGGGATGCAGCAGGACCAGATGGAATTCCTGGAGAAGCACTGAAAACAGACACCGAGATTTCAGTGGTGACATGCTCACATCACTGTTGCATAAGGTTTGGAAGGAAGGAAAGGTACCTGCTGGCCAATTAGAAGAAGAACTAGGACGGAAACAAGGTGGCATAATAAAAAAGAAATCATGTGCGGATCTAATTCCAACGCTACGCTACGCATCATCAAAGAACCGAGAGTAGAATGGCAGTCAACTCTCCACCTTATCTCAACTTCATCGACTTTGAAAAGGCCTCGGATAACGTCGACTGAGAAGTAATGTGGCAGGCAGCTGCTTCAACACTACGGTTTCAGTACCACAAACCCTTATCAACCTCATTCCGTAGATAAATGACTACGCCACATGCCAAACGATTCACAGTGAAAAGCTCAGTCACGCCTTTGAAGTGAAGTGAAGACAGAAGTAAGACAAGGCTGCCTGCTATCACTAATGATCTTCTCAATTGTTGTCGACTGGACTGGACTGGACTGGATCATGCAGCAAACTGTAAAGAGCGAGAAAATGGGTGGATGCAGTTTGACTGATGAAAAGGTCGTAGAAGATTTGTATTTCACCGGCGATGATTTATGTCCAATGTCGAACAAATTTGAAGATCTAGAGTCGAAAACTAACAAGTTGGCAGAAGAGGCGAAACAGCGAATACGGGACTTCAGATGAACGTAGAGAAGACAAACGTGATGGAATTACCCAATCAGCAATAACAATCACCAATCACTATCAAGGCGGGAAATCTGAAGGAAGTTGTCTCTTTCACCTACCTACCTTGGCAGCATCATTTCAACTGCAGGCGGCACAGGCAAAGATGAGAATGCGAAAGCAGGGATTGGAAGGACCTTCCTGCATTAACCTGAAATCAGTGTGGAGATCCACTGCACTCAGCATGAAGCGTGAACAAGATCTGATGCTTCAACACTAATTCAGTCAAGTAAGTCAGTGTTTCTTTGTGATGGGTGAGAGACTTGGAGTAACACGAACTGCATTTTCAACTAACTGCAGACATACATCACATCAACAGCTACCGACTTCGCTCACTCGACACTGATGATCAAATAGATGGCCAGAATAAATAAGGAACAGGGAAGTCTGGTCTGGTCTGGCAACCTACCAACCAATCAAGAACCCATCGCCCAACAAATATACAGTCAAGGAAAGTGGATATGGATTGGACTTACACTGAGAAGACCAGTTGGAGACATGATGTGACAGGCCAGGCCTAGGCTAGGCCAGGCGGTCAAGTGGATTGCAAAGGGGAACCGGTGAGTTGGGCGTCTCAGGTGAGGGTGACATGGAGGAGATGGTGTGAGTAAGAAATGAAAGCTTGTAGGCAGTCGTGGAGCCAAGTTGAAACAACTATAGAGAATAGAGTGAAATTGTGACGTGTTACTGATATGGATACCATGGGACAAATAACAATAATATTTGGTTCGCATATATTGACGAATGATGTGCACGCCTTTTTCGGTAAGGAATATTAAAAGATCCTAAATTGGAATCATTTCTGCACCAATTAACAAAATTTAAGGAACATGTGTAAATCATTAATATCTGTGTGCACGTAAACTATCTGCCGTTACTTAGTACAGCAGTTAAGTCAAATTTGTATTCCTTGACTTTGCTCTTTTTCAGACTCATTTTCAAACTGATCGCTGGTCATTACAATTTGAAAAAGACTTCGTAGTTGACTTCTGTATGGGAATTCAGCTAGTTCGAGTGCAAAAAACAAATTTAAATCCTCTGAATTTGCAAAAGTGACGTCTTGATTGTGATATTATTGTCCAGAAGACTTCGTGAGCATATTTACCATCATTATTTGTTACAGCCTATGAATAACGATTTCATATTTATCTTTATCAACTGATATCTAATTATTGACACGCATGCATAAAAGAATCATCAGTGTGCGTCAACTAGAACCGTATAGTACAAAGGAATATATCACATCAGGTTAAGTTATCGTGACATATATGCCAAAATATGTCATTGTAACCGTCAACAGATCTGTTATGAATACATTTTTTTCAATTGTTCAGTGCGAAAGGTATTTTCGTAACCTTTTACGTATATCAAAAGATTTTATGAATACGCTGAACTTTGTTTGATGATTGTGCTTTGACCTCGGAACAGATGGTAACATAATCTTTACTCTTTTGGTTTCCATAAGATTTCAATTGGGGATATTGGCTAGCAGTAGGATCCGAGTTACACTTTCTGTGATTTCTTGAAACCACCGATTACCTAGATGTACCTTTACTGAGACGGGAACTCAGAATACATCACTTCACATGTCAGAGCTTTATCCACTACTGAGTCATGAGAGATACTGTTTATGCAACGGGTACAGTTTTGATGTTACAGATTATATTTTTCTGTATTTCATCGAACAGAAATAATTAGCTGCTGTGATTCGTACCTATTCTAATCGCTTCACTTGACTTTTTTGTCACACTTGAGCTACATTTGAACAAAATTTATCGTATGCTGATGTGAATTTATTGCATACCTGGGACTTTTTTCAGCTGTTTACAGCAAAGGATAAAAAAATATTTAGATGCTTCATTTAAATTGACAAGCAAGAACCGAAGAACAGGGAGGATACGTTCAGTTGTACATTATAAATATATAGGAGTTGCATAGACGAAGTTGAAAAGGTCAATGAAAATTTTCTTGTTACTTGGGAAAGTAATTGAATTTCAAAAATGAAGCCATAGTATGGATTGGAACAAATTTTCTCAAAGTGCATAACTAATCCAATGAGTTACCTAAACTACATAAAATGAAATCACTCCAATTTAGAGAATAAGATGATTCGATAAATGTATTAGGCAGGGGAGTAGGCAGTGTTATGTCACCCTAAAAACTGACCATAATAGGGAAAATCTGACAACCGTCTTAAAACCGCATCGTTCCGCCTGAGTGGTTGCCATGATGCGAATCAGGTCCAATCAATGCATCTAGAAATTGTAGCAACCCTGTTGGTATGTCGACAAATTAAGTAAATTAATGATAAAAACTTTAGCAGAGACACTTCTTATGAATTGCAAGCAAGTAAGCGTTCACATGTGTGTAACATTCGATATATGGGAAGTTGCTTAAAAGAGTTTTTCATAGGTTTTTATCCCTTGAATTCCAGATTTTGGGTTTGTCCCTATTTCTACAGAAGTTTCTGCAATGAAAATGTACGCGATAAATATTTTTATATTGTTTTACAAGCTGCAAGATATATTCTTGATTCATATTTTAAGATTCTGTGAGACTTTTAAGATGTTAAAATCTTCGATTATGCTAAATTCTGAATGGATACTCTGGCTTTACTTATGAACGGAACACGACTTCCTCTATAACTCTATCAGTTTACATCAAGAAGAGAAGAGGATTAAGATTATAAGTTTCACCTTCAATCGGAAAAAGTATGAAATCTTTGCAAATCTCATTTGTTTATATAGAGTGCGACTGTCTTACAGGTAGGCAAATGAGTTGGGAGATTAAAAATGTGTAAAATTACAATAAGGAATAGTGAAGTTGGGCTTGCAAGGGAGAAAAGAGCACATAAGGGGAAAATTCATGTCATTGTTAGGTGAGTTTAGCGTTAAGTGAACAGTAAGTTTATATTTTTGAGAGTTAAACAATTCTAATATTTACTACTTTTGTAAGAACTGCTGGTTCTGAGCATGGAAAAGTGCTTTTTTTCACTATCCACTATATGCCATCCTTCTGGAAGTCTAATTTTTCCTAGTGAAGTTTGTTAACTCATGGTCCTTGTGCACATGGTATTTGGAAAGCATAATGAAAGAATTTCGAGAAAAATCATTTTGAATAACTTTCATGCTCTTCAGATTATCCCATTTTGAGATTATGTTTATTCCTTCCATCTTCAGACACTGTTCTACAATTAACAGATAGGCGAGGTGCAGAGAAAGCCATAATCAGTTTCTTACTACAACCAGATCAAGCCTCTGAAATTATTATCTTTACAACTGTTTAAAACACAAAGAGTGTAGCAACTGGAAAAAATATGTGATGAGACTCTCACTGCTATACAGAGCCGATTTGCTAGTCCTCTTTTGGCAGGCAAACTTCTATGTGGATACCTTAATTGTGCTGGATAAGCATGATGTTATATTCATCTCGGTGATCAGCAGCAGAATCCAGGTATCAAGGCCTCCACATAGGCGCCAATCTCCCAATAGAGGTCAAGCAACTCGACCCTTCATAGCAATAGGAAATTACAAGTCTCAAACAACAACTGATACTCATTGTGCAAGAGGCGGTTTTTATGCCTCAGTGGATGCCTGGTGAATAACACTTTGATGTTTGAAGTGATAGTAACTGGGTTGGAGTAGCAGTGAGAACAACACCAGTGACTGGTGTAGGATGAAGTTTCATTCGGCCGACGAGCCCCAAATAGGACGAAACGCGTGTCCTGGAATTCACTGCTAGTCATCACGATAAATACTATATCGAGGACAGTTCATTGGGCATGTAAAAAACAAGGATCTATGCGTATGAAAAAAAGCATAAGTGAAGGCCAGTGTAGCGCATATTTGAGAGCAGTCTGTTTTGCAAATGTAGAATCGTAGTTCTAAAAATTAAATTGGGAAGTGCGTTCCAAAGAATTAAAGTTTGCAAAAATAATCTCTCCCAATCAACGTAAATCTAAATAAATGTTTTCAACTACATTTTTGTGCCTAAACAGCAATTTATAAAAATATACAGTAAATTTTTTTTTAATATCCTTCAATATCTGTTTATTAGAAGTTCTCTGTGTTATATATTTTTTATCCAGTTGCTTAGATTTTGATATAGTACAGCATGGACTAATTCGTGTAAATATCCTTCTGTATCTACCTGGTGAGGAAGACTAGTGGCACTCAGTCCCATTATGTTCACTGTCCTGACGCACGGTGCAACCAAAAAAGATTCCATAGTTTTTAATTCATAAAAAGTAAAGCACCCACAAAGATTTGAACTACTTTACGACTATTTATGGGGAGTCTGTTTCACATTTAAGTGGAGAAGAAATAGAATTTGGTTATTTAAGTAACTTCTAAGATGGCATGATACATTTTTTTGCGTGCAAAGAAGTCTAGACCGTAGCGGAATGTGTATAGGTCGAGGTTCTTGTACTGTTTTGAACCAATTTTTTGATTGATCAAACAGAAATTAATATAAATCGCCTATCCTACTAAATAAACGTGACTTACAGTAATTACGACAACAAAGCAATCGATTAAGGTACAACTGGCTGGTATACTGACAGACAAAGTCAGAGTGATAACAAACCCAGCTAAGGAAAGATAACGCTGGTGTGTTAATCAGTTTATAAACAATAAGATGTATGTAATCTTAATCTATTCAAATGTTTATGCTTATTCAGCATTCAGCCAGTCAAGTTATCTAAATGGCAATAAATATATTATTCTTACTTATCAACTGTTGGGGAATATGATGTTTTCCCTAAACGCCTATAGCAGTATTGTGATGTTGTCAATTTACACTTTGCCAGCAATAATTAGATTTGTTGACTTGTATTATTGGTAAGAAAAATTGACTTTATAAAGAACAGTCAGATAACAGTGGCAATTCAGTGTTAATCACTGGCTACAAGGTCATCCACTATCGTTTTTTACAACATATTAGTAGACTACAATTATGAAGTGAATACGTAACAACCTAGGAAGGAATACAAGTGATAGTAAATATTGGATAGTAATGGGAAAATTAAAATAGACCATTGGTAATTCAAGAAAAGGGGAAGAAATAACAATGAGATGAAAGCAGTCAAAAGAAGATTATGAGTAAGATAAAAATGAGAGATTGAACCTAACTTCTGAACAAAAAGATGAGATACCAAAAGATTAAATTGATTAATTACTGAAGGGTAAACAGCTTCATGTAGTCCAGTTGTTAGTGCTGGAGGAATTCTGTCGACCATTTCACAGTGAGGTGACCAGGCTAGGAAGCTCATCGTCGCGATGCACTGAGATAGATATTATTTGAATGGAGGCAGTCAGCAGGAAACCATAGAATTAACTTTCTGGGTTTTGCACTCGTTAGCAAGGTGTATCTGCAACCTCTACGCAGTAGATGTCCCGATTGGGATTTAAACCCACGTCTCCCATTTCTGGAGTCAGAGACTCTGAGACTGAATTGTTTAGGCGGTAACTGACTTCTTGTTAAACTGGATTAAGTACTTTGATTGATCATTGGTGAGTAAGCGAGTGGCTTAGTGATAACACCTCCAACTGCAACACTGGGCTTTACGGGCTTGATTCTAAGGGGGTCCTCATTTTCGTCAAGGTTTCAAATACACCTTGCTGAGGAGTGCTAAAAAGCATGAAGCCTAGGTGAAGAGCTTCCTGCCGGCTCCCAGCACCTAACTAACATGAAAAGATTGATTGCCTAGTTTTCTGCCCCATTCATTTGGCAACTCTGCATTCCCTTCGAAATGCCTGAATGCGTTTTATAAATGACCATGAATAAAGATTCCAGTGAAGCAGTGATTATAGTTAATCAGATGTTCGAGAATGGCTAAAGGGTTTTTTCTTAACTATGTATTTTATCTGAGGGTTTGAGAGAACTTAATAGCTGATTTTAGGTTCGAACTCGTCATCGATTGGTATTAAATGGAGTAACGGTGGAAAGCTGTAAGCACTGGTCAGCTGTTTCGTCCAGGTATAGGACTCTTCAGCAATGCTCACCCATGACCCCACCCCACCAGGGATGGAACCCAAGACTTTCAGGTTTCGTGGTCAGTACGTTGCCATTGGGTCACTGGGTCAGAATCCAGCAGTTCATATTTCCTACTTCTGTCACTTCACTATGTAGCGTGACCACCATCCAGTGTCATCGCTGAGTAACTGTCCTCATGTTCTTCATGGTTGGCACCGATGCTCACGACCTTACATTGAAACTT